CCGCTGGCAGAGGCAGACCAGCGGGGAGATGAGAGTCACAGAGGTACGTTAAAACACATCTATACACTTTTCTTCATCGTCTTGTATGAATTATTTTAATGTTACTCGCTCACTTTCCTAGTAAAGCTGTGCTAACCAGTATTTTCCTCCCACAGTGCGCTGGCAGACCGGCGGGGGGACTCGTGAAGATGAAATAAAGCAGTAAGAGAACATTAAATTGTTAGGTCAACTTTAAAACACATGTAATCACCTTATTTGTTTTATACCAATGCTATATGTAAGGTATAAATGCGTTTGGGTGAATAAATGTCTGTAAGAAAATCAGATGGACTGTATTTGTGTCATTTTGTTAGGTTAATGCTTCAGCTACAGATGATGTGTTGCGCAATTGTTAATTGGGTTTCTTTCTTTAGTAATGGCATTCATTCTCGCTACATAAGATACCTGTCTGTTGTGTAGTGCCCTGTTATACTGCATTACTATGTAATATTTATGGTTTCTATAGCCGTGGCATCATTATGATGGTATGAAGAGATGGATTAATTAATGTAGGACGCCACTGAAGGTCTAGGTGTAAAATGCATGGCCCGCCACTGCTGGTCACATTGTACAAATCACAATTGGAATGATCAAGACTAGGGCTGCACGATTAATCGAATGCAATTGTCATGCACATTTTGATAGTAATGCCGGTTCTGTAATCAGCAGGAAATCATCATCACGTGCTTTCAGATGGCGCAGAATTTACTACACATAGCCGTAGTTCACTGACAAGTTACGCAAAAAAAAACACAGACTATTTTATAGCGCGATAATGACAGCGGTTTACATAGCTTCTCAGTGAACTACGGCTCTGTGAAGTAAATGCTGCTCCATCTGAAAGCATGTGAAAATACCACATTTAATAACATATTTTTACTCCAAACTCACTTCATAACGTCAGTTGAGTGTTTGAAATAAATCCTTCTGTGAGATGATGTGGCTTCTTACACAGAATAAGGCACGCAACACATTTCATAGTATTTAAGCAGTGATAAAGGCATTGCATTATAAATATACTTTTTTTTTTATAAATTATAATAAGAAGAACTCAGATAAACCGTATATTGCCATAGTCATGTGTTTATTAGTGACGTTGAATCAATGAAAGCAGTTGAATCTTCTGTTTATTCAGCTGCAGCGATTTTCTGGGTTTCGTCTGTGAGGCGTATTTGGAGTTTCAGCGCAAGAGCGCCCTCTGGCCTTTGGATGGAGATTTACTGCTGATCACAGAACCGTGCTTCACTGAAAGATACGCATGACAATCGCAGCTTCTATCGAATCGTCATCTCGATTTATCGTGCAGCCCTAATTAAGACTCATTAGCACTAAATGGAAATGTGTCCTTTACAGTCCAACCGGTGACTAGTAATTCAAGTGTGAGTTCCCGTGACAAACTTTGCAATCATATTAAAGGTCAAATCAGGTTCAGCTGGGATAACATCATACTGTGAATTCAATCTGCTGTAATTCAGTGTGGCTTTGTCAGCAACAGGAACAGTTTTCAAAATAGAGTCATTTGCTTGAGAAAATTCAATCAAGCCCAGCCTTGAGAGCAACATTGATACAGCACAAGCTCAGATTGTGGAGTCTGAGAAACACTGTGGCTTTTGACAGAGCTGATACATGGCCTTAACATGGCTGACAGAGACGCTTTTCATCAAGAAATACAGTCCCCAGACTGACTCTCTGACTCCAAAAACAAACAAGTGGAAGCCCTCAAAAACACAGATGAGAGACCGGCTGATCTCCAAACAAGGCCATTTTTTTTTACTGTCAATACAGGAGAAAGCATGACAATGTCCTTCATTTCTGTACAAAATGAAATTTCCTGACAAGTTTTATCTGCTAAAGGAGCTATAGCTCAAGCGGATGGAGGTGAACAGCACTATGAGCACACTATGTTTATCACCAAGGACAAAACTGAACTTGAACAGCATGCAAAAAATGTCTAACTTGATCAGAAACTAAGCTAATCTTCAGGGCTAGATAATCTGACACACTTTCACAATTAGGGGTAATGTTTTTGCCACATAATGTCAACAAGGTGAAAGGACTGAACTCCAATCACTCAAGTTTTTAAAGTTTGAAAGGATATATCCTTTACTTAACTGACCGAATGAGCAAATTAACAAACCCTCACTCAGTGTTGTTTTAGTGTTATAATTGAGATACTATTATATATCTTATTTATATTTTGAATTAGATTTTTTTCTTTTTCCATTTTGAATGTAAATAAAACGAGTACTTTATCATTTCATTTACAGGTTTTATTTTTAAGTTTTAGCTTACTACAAGAACCCTTCACTCAACACAACAAGAGAATAAAAGATATTATCTGAGGTGCTCAGCTACACTTAAATAACATGCCTAATACCAACAAGCCTATACTTATTTCCAAAGACAATCATGGCTGAATATTCAAGAAACTCGTTGGAATGCAAAGACACATGAATGACACTGAGGCCTGAAATGCACAACCATATCAGGCACTCTGACAGTACTCATTTACCCAGAGTGTGAAACTTCAATCACTGTTCCTTCTCTTTTGCTTATCAGTACTATGTGCTTATGGTTGTAGTGTGGTGTGAGAGGTTTCACACAACAAAATGTACCAAAATATAAAATAAAGGCAGCACACTAATACCACAACCCAAACTGAGCCTCATATATCAGTTGCCGCCAACCTAGACCGCATTTTTGGACTCAAGGGTTTTTCATACTGCATTTAACCCTGGGCTAAACTCCCTCCAGCCGAGGTAAACGGTTTCACACTTGTAATTTTCAAGGGGGTGAGCATCACTTTTAACCCTGGGTTAATTAAACCCAGCGTCAAAATTGAGTGATACATGGCCTTGATACATGATACATACACAAACAGTGTGCTGGAAAGTAATTGGAAGTTGTTTAGCAACACAAAACCAATCAGAAACTGACTCATATATATTTAATAGATTTAGTATGAAGGGGGGAAACGTTACACATGTCAAACGCTTAAAGAAGCAGATTTATGTGGCAACACTTCCACGCATGGACAAGCAGGTTTTATCCATATTGCTAACATCCTAAATATGCACATAAGAACGCTAAACCGGCATTTCAGAATGAAATCTCAAAACCACAGATTACCACACTGACGGGCAGTGTGAAAAAGGGAAGAAATAACCCAGGAATTACAACTTTAAAGTGCGAAAAACCTCCCAACAGGTGCCTGTTCAAAATGTTGTCGCTTAGGTAGGCAAAGCATTGGAGATATGAGACACATCCTGAGACTCCTCGTTCAACAGGTAGGCAGGCCCACAGGTCCTTAGCAGCGAGGCAAAATCATGTCATAGAAGAGCATTTGTGTCCATTCTCGACGAGGAAAACTAAACAAACAGACACATGGTTTTATGGCACTTTGTACCGAGTCGGTTTTCAAGCACGTGCTTACCTGCAGTAAACGAGACAGTCCAAATGATTTATTTCTTTATCCGAGCGGTGTCGTCTGTAATCTTCCCATAAATCCTTAATAGCGGTAACGGACAAAATAAAAACCACAGGGGCAAGAGCCAACTCTGGTTGAAAAGCATTGACCACAGGCACGAAATTCAGTAAGGCTATAAAAACAAAATACACGTTGGCAAATCGGTGGAATTGCTCGAAGAGGTTCTTCGGTAGGAAAGAAAGCAGAGTGTATTTTGTGGTTTTGATCTTATTGTTTGCATAGTGTCTGTTGGGGTTATCCCCTCCTTTGGTATGGTCATACAAAATGTTGGCGTGTACAATCCTGGTTTTGCTCTCCTTTTTGCTTTTCCTTCTTTTATGCTTTTTCACTTTGGTACTTTTCGTTTCTCCAGACTCTCCGGTCTCTCGCGCCATACTTCGTCCAAAACTTGTGTCTCTTTTCCTTGAACCAATAAAAGATGGTATCTATGCAATCATGCTCATCCTCCTTGATGACGAAGGGCCGTAAGAAAAGTTCTTCACTCTGTTTTATCGTCCTCACCCATCGTGTCAATTCTCTCCCTTTCTCTCGTTAGCACTGAAAAGTTTTACAGCGGCATATTTTTTCCCCCTCAGTAGCTGAAGATGCTTTAAGGCAGGGCCGAGCGATTATACATACGCGCGGTTACACATTTTAGCTGTATAAATCATTTGGAAAAACCTACAGACAAGTAGTCCTTGTTTAAAGTCCATCCATATTATTGTACACGCGGTGTTTTACGCAGGCCGTGGTGAAAAAAAACAAGCCAATCACGGGACGTACAAAAAATAACGTCAACGCCGACGCAAATAAAGCTCCGCCCACCTACCAATGAAACATCTTAACTGGAAGTGCCACGCGTTACCGTTGAGAAAAAGTGTTTCCCCTTGTAAATTCACAAAACCTGTAAGAATGACAGCGTCAGTCACTACTTTCATTGTACAGATAAAAAGACGCTCTCATTCACTCAGTTAGCATCCGTTTGCCTAACAGCTCCTTTTGAATGAAGAAAACCACAATTTTATTTAGTAGACATCTGGATAAACAGCAGAAGGGTCAGAAATGAACTGGAATCTAGATAGTCTGGCTTTAAAGATCTGACATGTAGCAGTCAGATTTCTGCATTCATTGTTGCTTAGGCAAGTGATGTTGAAATGTAGCTATTATGAAACTGAACATTAAAACAGCAACAACTTGACACAGATATTTGCATTAAAACTATGACAGGAAGACAACAGAGAGCTGTGGAACCTAACAAATATGGCAATAACAGTATCTGTGTCTACTGTTATTGCCTATGTTTTATTTGTTTCGTCGTCCCTGTCGTCTGCTTGAGTTGTCATCTCTGTTTAGTTTTTTTAAACGAATTCTCATCTTCCTAAAACTCTGAATATGACAAAGCGTAAATATAAAACCTAAGGACTATAGTTTTATTAAAGTTTATAGAACAAAATGATAAACGCATCTAAAGGTTTGAGAAAACTCATTACTGAGAAAAAATCTAAACAATCTATTTGTTTACCTGTCCTGATATCTGTAAAATGCATTGCAGAAGGTTCACTGAGAACATTCAGTTATAAAGCATACAATCGAGCTGAAAGCACGACAGAGAAGACGACACAGATAAAACAACATAACAGCAGACAAAGACAAATGTATTGTACAAAGCAGTCAAGACTTTTTTGGCACAAACTGAATGCCATCATTTTTTGAAAAAGCCTTCCATAAATGACAGAACAAGACGATATAAACAAAGAGCATACACACTGACATCGACTAATTTCTGAGATAAGGACAAATATATAGTACAAAGCACACATGGAACCTCAAAAACACAGGGACCAGACAATATTAGTTGTATTGTGTTCTGTTTGTGTTACTGCATGATGTCTTGTGCACTATTTACAGTTACTCTTGTGCTTTTGTCATCCATTTATTTTCTAAAGAGCCATAATTGTTCAAATTAATATCTTTTCAAAGTAATTATAAGAACAAATTGGCAACATTTGTTTATGTGGTTGAAAAATGTATACTTATAGAAATAAAAAGCTAAAAATAGAGAGATTTATATATCGTTTTTTATATATTGTTTACTATTGCAAATTCTTGGTTGTAGTAGAGTAGGTTTTATGATGGTTGCCTCCCCACAGGACTATTAAACAGACCACACCAAAAATGTGGATATTTCAGTACAATTAAAAATAGCACATGAACGTTTTATGACACAGTGATCACTCCAAATCTACGCCCTTGTTTGGTGGAGATTCCTGTAGCCATGAAACTATTAACAATTCATTGTGTTTATATTACCGCTACAAACAAGTTATTCGGCTTCCCTGTGACTCAGGAGCCTGCATTGAGACGAAAGCAAACGTGATGCCCAGTGCAGTTTAATAAACTCTCTGATCTGTTTATCCCTTGTTATCTTCTGATTGAATAAGACCATCTGTCTTAAGAATGCAGAAAAACAACTTTGCAATAACACTGTATGTTGAGGCCTGAATTTAAAAAAGTTTTTTTTGCACATTGCAAACTGACAGACAAACTGAGGATTTTTACTGCTGTTTAATGTGAGTGGATATAAGACGGTTGCAAATGCGTAAGCACATTGGCAAAGTTTGATTATAGGAATAGGTTGGTTAATAATGGGACAAGCGCTGCACCATGAACGGGAAGAACTGTTCAAATTCCATTCAGGATATTTCGACTTTTTTCTACTGATGTACCCTTGAGCAGAGAAGGGAACAAAACAAGTTGTCTCTGTGCTCTGACATCTGTCTGCGGCATACACTGTTGAATTTCTAGTTATCTATAAAATCTAAGCGATAAATCATGAGGTAAGATCTAGTTTTAAACAGATAAACCAGTTGCTATCGCTATTGATCAGGCGGAAAAAATACATTTTGACATCAATAAAGGCAAATACATTAGTAAATGTGTGTCTTTTTGTCCTTTTATGAAAATGCTGAGCATTGTTTTTTCCCCATACTTTCTTCTATTTAATACCTGCTGGTGTAAATGAAGGATATTTCTGCAGGAATTGTGCTACATGGTGATTTATGTGTCTGTCTGCAAAGTCAGAGATTTTAAACTTCTATCTTAAGGGTATTTCAGCTTTGCCTTTTTAAACTCAGCTCGGGGTTTTTTATATACTCTCATGGGTGTAAATAAAAAGCAGCATTGCGTTTAGAATAACTCTGAAACTTCTTAGTTGGCTGGTAATAGACTGGATCTGGTTTTTACTTTGGACAGGCTGTTTGGAATCCAGTTCAACACCAATTCAGTTAAAGCTTGCATGGCTGGCTTTGATTAATTTAATTAACTTTGCAATGTGAATTGCTTGAATTTGTCTGAATACATACATTTTTCTTGTTTGAATAAACACGCAAGCAGTAACATTTAATACTTCATTCACATTGCAAGAATTGCAAGGTCAGCTCCATCAACATGATGCTTTATTCTAAACAGTCATGTGAAAATTGGCTTTGGATGAAGATTCTTTTTAGTCTATTTGACAATCAATTATGTCAGAAATTTTTTTAGAGATCCAGAAAATGAAGTTAGATGAATCACGATCATCTAATTTTGGGGTCAAAACAGCACATGGCTTTCTCTCATCTGGGAATCAGGGAACTCTCATCTGGCATTGCACCCTTGTCTCGCTACTGTTTTTCAGGCCTGCATTGGGTCTGTAGCAGCGTGCTGCAGTGTCTCAGGACCGGCACTCTTTGACCATCCATCACGGGGAAATTGAATTGTTCCCCAATGCCAAGATGCCACAGAGTCCAATCAGCCATTATTTTTTCCCAAACCCAACAGTTGGACGCTGGTACTGCAAATCAAGAACGACAGTGGGCCGGATAGGGCCCTGATTGATCTCCCCCTGCCCCTTGCGCTCAGGGCTAAATGACCCAGCACTCGCAAATCTGCTGAGATCTGGAGCTTTGGATAGATGCAGCCTCCACTTTCAATAAACCTGGAGAGTGACCATACCTGCCGGCTGCCTTTGAAACCTGATTCAGCATTTGACACTGTTTTGCTGCTCTGCATCATTGTGCTTAGCAAGTGGATTAAGTATTGTCATTTAGCAGATCGAATGAATCTTGAATTAGAACATTTAGCCGTTGATGGTGTTTATAAGGTTCTGTCTGAAGAAGCTGCCCCCTTGTGGTACAGCTGTTGATTTTTACAGCCTGTTTTATACGTGCTGGTAAATTTAGGAGATTGTGGTGTCGTCAATCGAAAACATTTGTATCACTCATCTATGATTTAATCGTTTTACACATCACCAGTGTTAACAAATTATAACATCATTCATCAATCGTATGAGCACAGGCTAATTAAAATGAAAGTCGTATGATTCATTTGAGTTATCTAATCACAGCGAATCATAACTAACTATCTCCATAACCATGATGACTGACTTTAAAGGTAACGTGATTTAATGGTGAAGACAAAACACAAACTTTTAAGATGATTCACATCATTAAGGCTCAATCTTATTCATTAGGGACCAATTTAACAGTTTGGGAATCCCTTGCTTTCTTTTAAGATTATCTAAGTGGAAAACAAATGTCTAGCTCTGCAGCAGATTTGTTCATTCACACCCGATTTACTAAGAATACAATTTTCCTCCAAATTAACCACCATTATATTTTGGCAATTCTCCAGGCAACCTGTCAACAAATACTGTCATTCACATCTGATAATTTTTTTCATCATAATTTGCTTTTTAATATTATAATCAGCCATTACAATGAACCAGTGAGCCATGCAACTTATGTAAGTGGTGCGAATATCTCCACATTTCACACCAGAATGCATTTGATGCTTTGCAATGTTTTTCAGGAGAGATATCAACGAGTTATAGCTTAACTTTAATATGCTCAAAACAGAGCAGAAATGATGGATATTAAGGCATTTAGTACGTTTATTAAGCTATTTCTCAAGTCACAGTGGTAGTTTCAGGTTTTACTACAGCAGAAGGAGAGCCAAATATCCCCAAAAGTATATATACTTTCGGGGATATTTGGCTCTCCTTCTGCTTTGTGAAGAGGAGCAGATGACATTGTGATGAGTCCTAAACACAAGTGCTGGCAAGACAAAGGTCCCGTCCTCTGGCACCTTATTGCGCATATAGCACGACTTCAAAAAAGTGCTTTGCACATATTATTCAGCTCTATTTTGGTCTTTCGTGCAGCTCACAATCTAAGCACAAGTAATGAATCTGCAGTTTAAACTAAATGTTTACTTTTCATGCATTGTTTTTTCTTTTAGGCTTTTTTGTTCCATGTTTTCTATATTTTACTTTCTAGCTTGGTGAAGAGATGTGTAGCTGACTTCAGTTCTGCTGCAGTCTAGTAGAAATGACAAGTATATTATGCACACAGATATAAGGCTAGTCAGCAGAGGGAGCTAGACTCCGTCCAGTACAGTCACAACACTTTCTCAATAGAGTTTGGCTGCTTACTGCATACTGCACAGTATATATTGAATGTTGCGTATTATTTCTTCAAAATACTGTTATATGCATTATGCAACAAACATTTTAGGCAAACAATAGTTTTACATTACATTCCTTTAAAATGTTATTTTAAAAATAAATTTATTTAAAAAAAAAAAAAAGTTTAATGTAAAGTTTGTATTTGTCATTATTTTGTTATTATTTTATTATTTCATTTTTATTTAAGTTCTAATCCAATTTTGAGTAATACATTTTAAATCTTGGGAATAC